CTGTATTTTTTCGAGTTAACCAGGACTTACTGTTAATTGAATGCTGGATATGAAAAAGTCTCGCTACGTCTGGATGATTTGGTTGTTCGTCAAAGCTCGAGCGTACAGCTTTTTGAGTTGATCGGCTTTTTCTTCTGGTTGTGTCCAACGGCACAGTGTACGACCGATAGAAGATAATATTCCTCAGTTCGACTCCTCAGTGATGACGTACGTCGACTTGGTTAAGGCTCCAATTAACATTGCGAGCTCCTGCATTCGAGCTCTGGCATCTTCTCTGTCCCGACAAGTACGATCCTCTCGCTCCAGCTTGTCCTGTCGGCGACGCTCTTCAGCCTCGATTTTCTCGGCCTGATAGCGAGCCTCACGTGCCTCCAACTCGTCGCGGCGACGCTGCTCCTCACACACACGACGGCCTTCGGCTTTCATCTCATTTTCCTCTCGCAGCAATAGCACCATCTCCATCAAGCTCCTGCCCAGCTACGATGTGGTGTTCTGGATACCGGAGCGTTTCTGCTTAAGGGCTTCCGTTTCTCGCGCGCTTCGTCTTAGCAAAACTTGCCTCCGCTTTTTCCAGATCTCCGTCGTCGGATGCACTCTTACCTCCACGTGAGTCTCGAAATGCGCGTAGATCAGCCCCACCGAGTCGGTTCGACGAAATTTGCGCGGCTTTGTTGCCGCGCAGACCAAGATCGTCACCGTTATCGGTTTTCTTCGTGCGAGTTGTCTTCGCGCTCGAGGTCTTAGAAGAGTTGGTAGTGTACGTCTATCTTGACATACGCAGCCCAGTAAAACGATGAGGACGCGTCGGTGTCACATCTTGGACGGTGCTTGAGTTGGTCGAAGGCGCGAAGGCTTCAAGACCGCCCACGCCTACACGGACATCGAAGGGCACTCGGACGTCGTCGTTGACAGCCACTGTCTCTTCAGCTCGATGGGCCAACAGTCCCTCTGCTCCAGATGTGTCCACCGAGCTGGTAGTGTCTGCAGCGAAAGACCGACAGCTCGTTGCGTCGGAACTGACGACGACAGAACATCCGTCGCCTCCATCGCCGCCTCAATCGTTGAAGAACGAATCATCGGGCTCGTAATAGAAACTGAAGTCCGGCTCGACGGGTCGTTTCTCCTCTTCCAAGTCGTCCTCCGGATCCGCGTCCGAGTCATCTTCGCCACAATCGTCCATCTCGACGACGTTAGCCTTGTCGTCGACAGCTCTCTTCAAGTCTTTGGCCTGCTTGATGTGGCATGTTCGCCTTGCCGGTCGGTTTGCGGATGCTGTACATTGCCTTGAACTTGCGACGGAGGCTGTCGAAGTCGCGTTCGGACCAAGACCGAGGACGGTTTGCATTTTAGTCGGCAGCCAAACGCTCCCACTCGTCCTTCCCCAGTGACAAGTGCTCCTCCACGAGCACTAAGAGCCGATTCACCTCGGCCATTAGGTAGTTCGTGCTGCCCGCTTGTTTGCCCATCTAGACCAAGTTACAAGTGTTAGCGGTGATGCTTGGCATGAGCACGTTAAACCAGCGAAGCGTACCGTGCGTTCGTCGCAGAAGTTGCTGGTGCTTGTGAAGTGCTTGCTGGCTCGGTAGTAGATCCGAAAGTGAGAGTCAAAGTGATCGGAGTCTTCAGTGCGCGCAGCGCACAACAGATAGCACAGTGCTTCTCGTCCAGCCAACTACGGAACCACGACTTCCCCTTATGTCGAGCTTCAAGGCGCGAAAATATCACGCGCTTTGACGCCACGCCCAAGGCGCCGAACGCTGGTGTATCAGTCTACGCGATGTGGATCTCTTTTGGCGCGAAGTTGAAGTTGACCCAGAGACTACAGTCTTCGCGTGAAAGGAACAAACGGCTCTGAAGCGGCGACTGTTCACGCGATCTTGGATCGTGACCCGTACTGATTCCTCACGCAGAATCTCTCACCACGTTAAACTGAACCTTCATGTATTCACAAGAATAAATAGCAGGATCAAAGTAATCTTACCTACACGCACTAGCATTGAAGATATGAAGAAACCGTGGTCTGCATTTCCACCATTTCCTCACGGATCGCAACTTGCTTGAATGTCACGGTGAGGACACGAGGCGCTGTAGCAGCGGCATGCAAACCATAAGTCGTCGCCGTAATCCGCCGTGACTTCTTCGCCT